GTTCCTCACGGGCTGCCCGGGCCGCCGCCCGAGGCCGCCGCGTCCGCCGCAGCCGCCCGCGCCTCCTTTGTGGCCGTCTCCAGCCCCTCGGAGCCGGCGCCGCGCTGCGCCCCGGGCTGCAAATGGCGCCCGCTCGCCTCCGCGCCGCCCGCCGCTTCCCCGGCTGCGGACGTCTGGGGGTTGCGAGCCCCGGGCCCGCATCCCCGCGCCGCCGCCCGGGCCGTCAGAGCCCGCGCCGCCGCCGCCGCCCGCAGCCGGGCTCAGGCCGGTCCCGGCAGCCCCGACGCCCCGCCCGCCTTCCGCCCGCGCCGCGCGCAGCACTCACCGCGGGCCGCGGCGCCGCGGCCAGGCTGGGGGCAGATTCCCGGGTCTCGGCGGGGCCAGGACCCCCTTTCGAAGCGGCTCCTTTGCGCCCTAAAACAAGTAGCCCCAACGTGAGAGAAACAAAAGGTATTTGCTGACGTGGGCGTTGGACAGAAACGCCCGAGGGCTGGGGACACAATTAAAGGGGCAACGCACAGATTTCAGGCACCAACCAGCGGCCTCGCCCACTCCCCCTGCCCTTGCCCACGCCCGCGGCGCCCTCCAGAGTCCCCGGGGTGCCCCGGCTCCCCGGCGCTTGGCTGCGGATCATTATTTCAGTCAGGAGCTTGAATTTAAAAATTGTACTTTACGTTGGGAAAGGCGCCTCCGGAGGGCAGAAGGGCTGGATTTCGAGGATCTGGAGAGTTGGGTTGAGGAAAGAGGGAGGGACTTAGGCGTGCCCACAATTACTGTGTGAGTGCATGTGACATTATTGTCCTTAAGTTTAGCGACGTCAAATGGAAGCGATTTCCACAGAATCAGCCCCTTCGTTGGAGCAGCGCTTTTAATCCGAGATAACCGTTCCTAAACCTCTGCGGGTCACAGGCATTGCATTCCGAGAAGAAAACCCAGAGAGGCTGGGATGAAACGGCACAGTTTGCAGCTCAGTCCAGAGAAATATAAAATCAGTTTAAAAAAGAAAAAGCGGGTTTCGTGTTTTCCAGTGCAAAAAAATTTGTCATCCGTCCATCAAGCCTCACTTCTGACACATTTACGTCTCTACTCTTTAGAATGCAAACATCAGGGCATACAATTCGCTAGCATAGTAAATCATTGAATTTTCACTCTTGCTGCAGAAGCATTGATTGCATAAACTAAATTCATTTCCTAGTTCCTTGTACTGAAGTCAAGTACTGCAAAGTACTGTATGATAGTAAAGCGTAACAAAAGGACTCAAAACATGTATTTGTTTCTTAATGTTGGACAAAGTTTCTGACTTTGGTTTCACCAATAATTAGCGATCCATGGGGCAGGTGTTGTGGCTCAATGGGTTGAGCAGCCACTTGGAACGCCTGCGGGGATCTCGTGCCTGCATCCCACCCCCAGTGCTGGGCTCTGCTCTTCCTGTCCAGCTTCTTGCTAATGCACCTGGGAGGTGACAGATGATCTCCCAAGTGCTGACCCAAGTGGGAGCCCCAAGATGGAGTTCCTGGCTCCTGGCTTCAGCTTGGCCCAGCCTGTTGTAGGCATTTGGGGAGTGAACTAGCCGGTGGAAGACTCTCTCTGTCTCTCTCTCCCTCTTCCTCTCTCACTGTCACTCTGATTTTGTCCCTCTCATCACATTAGTTTTCGAATAAGTAAATCTTTAAAAAAATCAATCAGCTTTGCATTCTGAGATCATCCTCTCCGTAAGAAGCATACAAAACATTCACACCTGATTTTTTTTTTTTTTTTTGACAGGCAGAGGGGACAGTGAGAGAGAGAGAGAGAGAGAGAGAGAGAGAGAGAAAGGTCTTCCTTTACCGTTGGTTCACCCTCCAATGGCCGCTGCGGCCGGCGCACTGCGCTGATCTGAAGCCAGGAGCCAGGTGCTTCTCCTGGTCTCCCATGGGGTGCAGGGCCCAAGCACCTGGGCCATCCTCCACTGCACTCCCTGGCCACAGCAGAGAGCTGGCCTGGAAGAGGGGCAACCGGGACAGAATCCGGCGCCCCGACCAGGACTAGAACCAGGTGTGCCAGCGCCACGAGGCGGAGGATTAGCCTAGTGAGCCGCGGCACCGGCCCACACCTGATTCTTAAGATCACTTTTGCATCACTTTCAGAGATGATCTGCAATTTAGGTGCATTTCTTCACCTTCTGAAGAGGTCAGGGGAAATCTGTTTGAAAATCACTGGGTGCTAGCCACCTCTATGCCCATGCCCACTGAGGATTCCCCCAGAGAGACCTGGCCATTCTCAGGGCAAATAGCTTCATTTTAGCCTTAGTGAATTAAAGCACGGGAACTTGGCGATGTTGCGGTTTAGAGATGCTGAGAGTTCTCCCTTCAGCTTCGCCCTCCTGGCATCAGGATTCATGCTTCTCTCTGCCCTTGCTGCCCCGTTAGTCAGTGTCAACTCCCTTCAGCTCTTGCTTTGTTTTGTTTCTTTTTCCACCTCTTCAGCTCAAATTCTTGAAGGAGAGAATTTACTCCCATTTAAAATTTTTTTTAGTTTTTTTTATTTGCCTGAAGAGAAGAGAAACCACTGATTCGCTCTCCAAATTCCTACAACAGTCAGGAGCCTGGAACTCTGTCTGGATCTCCCACATGGGTGGCAAAGACCCTAGTACTTGAGCCATCACCTGCTGCCTCTCCAGGGTCCACATTAGCAGGAAGATGGAATTCTGGAGTGGAGCCAGGATGCAAACCCAAGCACTCCAGCATGGGCTATGGGATCTTAACTGCTATACCAACACAGGGTAAGCCTGAAGGTTAGGTGTGTGGTCCTGCGAGAGGGTATTTGTAGATAAAGAGGAGCCCTGTCTTAGGAAAGAGGGTGTTGGTTTGGGGAAGGACTCCTTGAGGAAGTTGTGTTGATAACAGTCAATAAGCAAAGGTGTGAGCAGTCAGGAGCTTTCCAGGTAAGAGCTAAACGTGCAAAGATGTTTGGTAGGAGGGACAATAGCATAAAAGGCTGATGAGGCAGTAGGGCACAGGGAGGGACAGCGTGGAGAGATGGGATGGGAAAAGTAAGTTGGAGTCGAATCATCCAGGACTGTGCACTGTGGTAGGAACTCTGGAAGCCATTCATGAGTCTCGGGCTGGGCGGGGTATGTGTGATGTGAGGTAAGCATTTCAAAAAGATGACTGTATGGAGGATACATTAGAGGGAGGACAGATTAGATTACAGTGGTCCCACCAAGAGGTGATGGAATCTTGAACTAGGGTAGAAAGGGAGCAGATGGATATATGTGGGGTGATCAAGAGAAGTGGGGAGATAAATATCAGAAGTAACAGCTTGACTATAGGGGATGAAGGGAAAGAAAGAGCCCTTTGGTTTGTGAAACTTGGTGGACCTTAGCTCTGTTCACTGATACAGAAAAGACTGGATGAGGACTAGATTCTTTTTTTTAAAACATTTTAATGGGGCTATTTTTTTTATTTGAAAGACAGAGTTACAGAGAGAGGTAGAGACAGAGAAAGAGGTCTTCCATCCACTGGTTCACTCCCCAGATGGCCGCAACAGCTGGAGCTGTGCCGATCTGAAGCCAGGAGCCAAGAGCTTCCTCCAGGTCTCCCACGCAGGTGCAGGAGCCCAAGGACTTGGGTCATCTTCTTCTGCTTTCCCAGGCCATAGCAGAGAGCTGGATCAGAGGTGGAGCAGCTGGGACTAGAACCAGCGTCTATATGGAATGCCAGCACTTCAGGCCAGGGCTTTAACCCTCTGCTCCACAGTGCCGGCCCCGGACCAGATTCTTATTTTTAAAAATTGTTTTATTTGAGCCGGCGCCGTGGCTCAATAGGTCAATCCTCCACCTTGCGGCGCTGGCACACCGGGTTCTAGTCCCGGTTGGGGTGCCGGATTCTGTCCCGGTTGCCCCTCTTCCAGGCCAGCTCTCTGCTATGGCCAGGGAGTGCAGTGGAGGATGGCCCAGGTGCTTGGGCCTTGCACCCCATGGGAGACCAGGAAAAGCACCTGGCTCCTGGCTCCTGCCAGGATCAGCGCGGTGCGCCGGCTGCAGCGGCGGCCATTGGAGGGTGAACCAACGGCAAAGGAAGACCTTTCTCTCTCTGTCTCTCTCTCTCACTGTCCACTCTGCCTGTCAAAAAAAAAAAAAATTTGTTTTATTTGGGCCTTGGGCTTTATTGTAGCATAGTGGGTTAAGCTGCCTGCTGCAATGCCAGCATCTCATGTGGGCACTAGTTCAAGGCCCTGGCTGCTCCACTTCTGATCAGCTCCCTGCTAATGCACCTGGGAAAGCAGCGGAGGATGAAGCTCTGGGCTCCTGGCTTCAGCTTGGCCCAGCCCTGGCCATTGAGACCATTTGGGGAGTGAAACAGCAGATGGAAGAACTTTTTTTCTCTATGTCTCCTCTCTCTCTCTGTAACTCTGCCTTTCAAATAAATACAGTAAATCTTTTTAAAAATTGTTTTACTTATTTATTGTGGAGTCAGAGAGCAACAAAGATTATAAATCCAGCTTGAGGGGCCAGTGCTGAGGTATACTAGGGTAAGTTACTGCCTACGATGCCCACATGCCATATGGGGGCCAGTTCATGTCCTGGCCGCTCCACTTCTTCTTCTTCTTCTTCTTTTTTTTTTTTTTTTAAAGATTTATTTATTTGAAAGAGTTACAGAAAGAGGTAGAGATAGAGAGAGAGGTCTTCCATCCACTGGTTCACTCCCCAGATGGCTGTAATGGCTGGAGCTGTGCCAATCCAAAGCCAGGAGCTTCTTCCCATTCTCCCATGTGAGTGCAGGGGCCCAAGGACTTGGACCATCTTCCACTGCTCTCCCAGGCCATAGCAGAGAGCTGGATCAGAAGAGGAGCAGCCGGGACGAGAACCGGCATCCATATGGGATGCTGGCACTTCAGGCACTTTAACCCACTTGCCACAGCACTGCCCCTGCTCCACTTCTGATCCAGTTCTCTGCTAATGGCCTGGGAAAAGCAGCAGCAGATGATCCAAGTGCTTGGGCCCCTGCCACCCATATGGGAGACCTGGATGAAGCTCCTGGCTTTAGCCTGGCTCAGCCCTGACCATTGTACCCATTTGAGTGAACCAGTGGATAGGAGACTTCTCTCTCTCCTCTGCACCTCTCTCTCTCTGTAACTCTGACTTTCAAATAAATAAATAAATTCAGCTTGACCTGTTGAGGTTAAGAGGTCCTTAGGATGCAGTTTGGAGATCTTTATTCCTTTTGGATGCACATTATCTGAAACTCATTTATATGTTTGCAGAAGTTCTTATCCTTATGATTAATTGGTGGGAGATAGAGTCTGCCTTCTGTGATAGAATCTGGAAATGCCAGTGGCTTGTTTCCCAGAATCCCTTGCAGCTAGGGCAATGGATTTACGTGGTCTACACTTTGACAATCAGAGGCTCCCACTGGAGACTTTGAAGACACCATGAAGCAGGAACCTCAAAGAGCCTTTTCTGGCAATAGTGACAGTAATACCTCCAGGTGCCATGGTGGCGGCGCTTCTGGTGGCAGCATCCACTGTCGCCAGTTTAGTGACATGACTATTATTCCTGGCTGCTTAGCACTGCTTTCAGCTCTTGTACTCTGGTTCTCCCAGTGTTTCTTTAAACTTTTTCTTAATTTTTATTTCAGGAGTGAGCATTTGGCATATGCCTCTTGGGCAGCCCATATCCCA